CCACCTCTGGCATATGAGGCCAGCAACCTACTCCTTGAGCCATAGGAGCCGCCCAAAGTTTGATCACTTCTTAATGGGTAGAAAAGAGATGACAGAGAGGGGTATAAAGGGAATGGCCCCTATGAATTAGGGTTGGGGTGTGAGTGTATTTGTGTACACATTTTTTCCCCCAAATTTCCTATATAAAATTTCCCAGTTGAAAAATATTATATGCTTCATCCCCATAAATAACTGAGATTTTTCTGGGAATAATACAAATAAATACAATACAAAACTAAAGATGCTTATCATAATGAAAGACAGCCCAGATATTTTTGGAAAGATCATGTGTCCTGATAGTTGGTTCAGTGTATGGTGAGTCCTCCTATAGATTACAACCTTTACGTGATGAAGCCAGTTTTCATGGGTCAATTTGCTTCCGTTCCTAGAAGGAGAGGTGTGCATAAAGAAGAAAAGTCACAAGACTTCAGGAAAAGTAAACAAGCTTTCAGACTAAGACAGCAGGTCAGAAACAGAGGAAATACCAACTCACCAGAGGTCCAACTGAAAAAACCACAGCAGCCATTATCTCTGCTTCTGTGTCCCCCTCTCTGGAAAGAGTGGAGTCTTGTAGAGACATATCTGAGGAAGAGAAATCACCATGAACACCAGTCCTGCCTTGGGAATTGCAGACTCACCACGTTGGAATCCTGACATACAGGTGAGCGTACCCTCTCCAAGCAAACACAAGAATAACCACAAGATCAGCGAGAGACAAAGATCCTTGCTCCTGGAGAGCGTGAGACTTTAATGCTGTTAAATGTAGTCACAACTAGTAGGCCAGACATTGTACAAGGAGATTTTAAAATATTTTCTCATTTAATCTTCTTATCAACCCAATAGGAATATTCCCATTCCATAGATGAGGAAACTGAAGCTTAGAAAAATCAAAGTATTTACCCAACGCCGTGAAGAGACCTGACTCCAAATCAATCTAAGTCCAAAGCCTGTATCTCTTCCACTAAGTCAATATGCTGTGTGAAGTGAAAGAATATAATTCAATCTTTCTTTGCCACAATCACCACCTCATCTAACAATTAAATATTCTAAAAGTCTCTTCTTCTGCTGTTCTTGTGAAAAGTCAGTTTCCTAACATTTTCAGAGACCTCAGCTTCATGTAAGGAAAACACAACAACTTCAAAATTTAAATGATACTAGAAACTCTGACATGTCCTCCCAACCTCATATTCAAATATATCTTTATCCTTTGTATATTAGGCAAATCTAAATAAAAAGGAAGTGAGGATAATAATAATCATAGAAGGGATATGAAATTCAATGCACAATGCATTTAGGATTAGTCCTTTTATATTGAAAAAAAGTACATGCCTAATACAGGTTTTATACTGTGGACAAATAGGATGGACCTTATTGAGGGATGGCTGGGCACAGGTTCCACTTTTCTAACTTTGATTAAGGATATGATATTTTCTAACTTTGAATAAGGATATGATATTGTCTTATACCAAATGGTATAGACTGTTATATAAATTCTTCTAGAATATAACAGCCTCTTAAGTCTAAGGGCAGTGACATAATAAATATCCAGTTTTTGAGAAACTGTACTGTGTGCAATAAGTATTACAATCATATAGCCCTTCAAGTAGAAACTTTGTTATGCTTAAACATGCTGAACCCACTCCTGCCCCGAAAGTGCACCTTGCTTCCTGTAAGGTTGTAGCTTCTGTTCAATAAATACAGCAGAACTCAATTGAACCTTATAGTTTATACCAATGCAAACTTTAACCATTATCTTTATATTGACATAAAACCAAGGCTGTCATGAATGCAAAAACATTAGCGATATAGAAATGATATAGATATGAGTATAGTGAAACTTACACTGTCAAGGCCACTAAATTAATTTTCTAACTTCAAGAGGAGACCAGGGTTGAGCGAAATCAAGAAAATATGTGAGTATCTTAAAAATGTAGAATTTTTCGATGCCACCGGGTTTCACTAAGCACAATGAAAATGTTTTGGTGGAAGAGAAACAATGAGAAGTTGAGTGAGGGACAAGAGCGCAGTGTGGAGGTGAGAACCTGGATAAAGAGCACAGAGGAGTTTCCTACAATGAGACCTCAAGGTTATTAAAATATCCCCAGACAGACAGACAAAATAGACTTCCTGTGGCTGAAATGAGCCACACCAAAGCAGAGTCTAAAGGCCAGCTGGGTTAATCAAATATCCCTTGTTTCTAACCACCAGGAGGTTTCTTTCCTGGAGTTAAGCAGCAGTGAAAGCACCACCAAAACAACTACAGATGGAAAATTTCCCAGTTGCCTGATACCAGCCCAACAGCAACCAACCCCCACCACCTAGTGGTCACACCACAACTCTGATCCGACAAAAGACCAGTTTTTGTTATTTATTGATAAATAGCTTGGACAAAGGACAAATATTATCTTTATTGATAATAAACATTATTTATTGATAAATAGCAGCAGCCCTCAGGGCTGTTTTGGCCAACTTACACAGGCTGTGCACAAACTCTCTTTGTTCCCTACAGTTCACCTTTTGATATAAAGAGCCAAATTACCCCTCATTTTAAGGCTGAAACCTCACCCTGAAATGAACACGGAATGTATGTTACATGTTTGCCCCGTGTGCACCTGCCTTCCTTCCCTCATGAATATTCATACCCCCCCCAAGTCTGTAGGTAAGGCTGATCCTGTGACACATATTATACATACCAGCCTCCCCCACCCTTCTGCAGCGCATGCAGATTGTTTCTCCCTTTGAAAATAAAGTTGTTTCCTTTCCGTCCTCTGTGGCGCTTCTTCTCATGGTCTTTTGTTAACAAGATTACCGACAAAAGTGGTTTTACTTTACATTAGTGTTTCTCCACATTTTTTGTTGGTTATGGATCCTTTTGAAAACCTAATGAAAATTATGATTCCACTCTCAGAAACTCCCACATATAATCAGAGGGATCTCAATTCTGAGGATGCTCACTCTCACTAGACATGCTTATTAGAAAGGAAATTCTTTAGCTTCATCTGAGACCTAAGTCAGGGTCTCAACTCTAAGTGAAAGTACCTTAGGTTTTTAACCTTAAGTATTGTCCTAAAGTCAACTCTTGAACCTCAAATTAAAAACTGTTTTTTACACCCCTTGAAAATCCAATTGAAATATGTTTTACCAAAAGGATTCAGGAACCCAGGCAAAGCTTTGCCCCATTTAATTTCTTCATTTGAGTTTCTGCCTCCAGCCAGGTGTTCGTTTAAATATTCTTCATCTTGTGGGTTCAGAAGCAATGATTTTGCTAAGTTTGATGACAATTTAAAACAATAACTGAAACCGCCCTAATGAATATTAACAATAACTTCATATCAACACCAATAAATCTTAATTTGGTGGTGGTGGGGGGTTTGACCCTATTTGAGAATCTGACTCTGTCCAGAACAATGCACATTCATAAGTGATGATGCAAATTATTTTAAGGAGCTTGAAGACCAACTCTCTCCCAATCCCTACTCTGACCCTTAAGAAGCCCAGTTTTACAAGGTTGCAAAGAACCAAAAGAAACAATAATATTTCCCCTCCTACACCAAAGCAAATGTACAAATGGCAACATAAGACATTTCAATTCAAGGAATATGAGCAATAGTTTTCTGCACCTTTAAAATTTATTAAGAATGACCCTGCATCATTTATTTAAAATTTCTTCTTCTTCTTCTTCTTTTTTTTTTGTTTTTGAGACAAGAGTCTCACTTTGTCATCCTTGGTAGAGTGCCGTGGCATCATAGCTCACAGCAACCTCAAACTCTTGGGCTCAAGCGATCCTCTTGTCTCAGTTTTTCATTTTTAGTAGAGACAGGGTCTCACTCTTGCTCAGGCTGGTCTCGAACTCCAGAGTTCAAGTGATCCACCCACCTTGGCCTCCCAGTGTGCTAGGATTACAGGCATGAGCCACTGCACCTAGCCTAGAATTTCTTTTAAAATCTGTAATGATTAATAAAATTCTCCTTGGCAATAAATCATGCATATCATGCTAGTAAAATGTTTAACCAAACTGCAATAAACATTTTATTTCATAATCTAGGATTTCTTTTAAAATCTGTAATGATTAATACAATTCTCCTTGGCAATAAATCATGCACATCATACTAGTAAGATGTTTAACCAAACTGCAATAAACATTTTATTTTATATTCAACATACAGTATAGTCAGCTTGACCTAGATTGTGTAAACATCATATATAGAAAAAAAAAATCCGCAAGGAGTAAGCCAAACTACTAAAACCTCTAAGACCTGGGGCTGTGATATTTATCCTTATTTCTACTTTTCTGTATTACCCAAGTAGACAACAAGAAGTATCTATACATGTATAAGCAGAAGTCTGGTGTAAGAATAAAATCCCAGAGTGGCAGTCCATATCCTCAGTCAGGTTCGAACTTTGGTTTGGCTACCGTGACTATAGACAAGTCACTTGAACACAATCAGTTATTAGCAAATGAGAGTAACCACCTGCTTCTCCTTCCCCTTTGACATTATACAGAAGAAATCTAGGATAACACACGTATTTCACCAGTCACAATTTCCCTAGATATTTTGTTTTGGATGCTGTCTCTCCAAGCATTGCAAAAGTATTAAGAAAAAGGGAGAAACTTCACCTATTGTGGTTCCTAAGCCAGTGTAGCTATTTAAAAATAATAAAGGGTCCATGTCCTTGCTGAGAATTTCAGCACCACAGACCAGTCCAGCATTTCCTAACCAATGCAATCATACTATCGTCATGTCAGGGAGTGAGTGACGAGTGATTTAAAGGTGATTACAGTGCTCGAAATGCCAAAAATGAGCTGACAAAGAAAAGCTGCCTCAGTTACTAAGAGTAGCGCAGGTCACCCTATTGGAACCCTACTTCCAACCCTGCTGTCTCACAAGCCAGAATGGAAACGCTCCCGCCACCTCTGCCCGCTTTCCCCAACTGCCCTTCGCTCTGCACTCGCGGGTTCCAACCCTCCTAACGCCAGCAAAGGCGCGGGACGGGGAAGGCGGGGAAGGCACCCTCAGGGCCCCGACCGCCCGCGACGAGCCCCTCGCCCAAGCTCTGCGAACCGAGCTGCGCAACCCCAGGGCAGCCAGGGCGGCCCGGCCTCCCGCAGAGGCTCCCGCGTTCCCACCCGGGTTCGGAGACCAGACAGGGCGGAGAACCGCCCTGCGAAGGAGGCCGTGCCCAGCCGGAGCCTACACCCAGGCAGGAGGCCCTGCCCCATTCGCCTCTCGGGGGTGGGCGGGTCCGCTTGGGGGCAGGGGCTCTGCAGGGAAAGGCCACGCCCCGGACGCCGCAGGGAGCCTAGCGCGAGGGAGGGGCGGCCGAGAACCCAGGCTTGGCGCCCGGGGCAACGAGTACCTGGCGGCCGAACTGAGGACAACTGAGGGCACTCGCAGAGCAGGGCGGGAACGCTTCCAGCAATGGCGCCCGCTCGGCGGGGCCGGCCTCAGGGCAGGCCCGCGCCTGCGCGGGGGCGTCGGAACTACAGTACCCAGCATCCTCAGCTCCCACTCGTCCCCTTCCCCTGCGCTAACGAAGGAATTGCTGATGTATTCTTCCGGTGAGTTGAAAAATTCAAATTGGATACAC